GATCCGAGTAATTTAAAGTAGACGCTCACAAGAATGAGAGTGACATGTTGACTAAGTGCGTGCCGGCACATGTATCGCGCAAGCATCTGGTCAGCATGGGTTTTGATTTTCCAAATTCCTGGAGCAGGCTACGCAGAAAGCTGGCCTGAACAGTCGGATTCAGTCTGCGCTGTAGGAGGAGTGCAGATGTGTAGCATATTATGTTATCGTTGCGTGAGCTGACATGTTGAATATCGTTTCATTGATATGCATTGTTGTCGCCCGCAACCGTTCTGCTCCAGGCGCCTTCATGCGGCGAAGGAAAAGGGGTTCGTTCTTCACAAACATTATTTCTGCAATGGGCAACAGTGGTGATTGCTGTTCCGACGACGCACTGCCATCGATCTTACAATCGATAGGACAATCGATCTCACAATCGATCCCACTATCGATCTCGCAATCGATCTCACATTCGGTCTCGCTATTGATATCACCTTCGATAGCACAATCGATCTCGCATTCGGTTTCACATCTGGTCGCATTACCGATTTCACTTTTCATTTCATCCGATCGATCTCACAATCGATCTGACGATCGATCTCGCAATCGATTTCACTATCGATCTCTCATTCGGTCTCACTATCGATCTCACTTTCGGTCTTACAGTCGATCTCACAATCGACGCCATCATCACCATCATCAACATTATCATCATCAGCACCAATGTCATCATCGTCTGTACCACCATCACCATCATCACCATCATCACCATCATCACCATTGTCACCATCATCATCACCATCATCACCATCATCACCATCACCACCATCATCTTCATCATCATTATCGTCATCATCATCACCATCATCACCATCATCATCATCGTCATCATCATCACCATCATCACCATCACCACCATCATCACCGTTACCATCCTCATCATCATCGTCGTCATCATCATCATCACCGTCATCATCGGGGCACCGACAGGATACCGGCGGGACACCGGATTCCACTATCGATCCCATTCGATCGATCTCACAATCGATCTGACAATCGATCTCACAATCGATCTCACTATCGATCTCAACATCGGTCTTTCATTCGGTCTCACTATCGATCTCACTTTCAATTCCACAATCGATTCCACAATCGACGTCATCATCATCATCAACATGAACATCATCACCATCATCATCACCATCACCATCACAAACATCAACGTCATCATCATCATGACCACCATCATCACCATCATCACTATCATCGCCATTGTCATCACCATCACAACCATTATCGCCATTTTCACCATCATCATCATCCTCATCTTCACCATCATCACCATCATCACCATCATCGTCATCATCATCACCATCATCACCATCATCACCATCATCATCATAATCATCATCGTCGTCGTCGTCATCATCGTCATCATCATCACCGTCATCATCGGGGCACCGGCGGGACACCGGCGGGACACCGGCGGGACACCGGCCAGATTCCGCGGGCCACCGGGCGCCGGAAGGGAGTCATTTGGTCTGGCCGCGCATCAGCCACAGCGGGACACCGGCGGGACACCGTGCGGCACCGGTTGCCAGAAGGGAGTCATTTGGTCTGGCCGCGCCTCAGCCACAGGAGACTTTCCTCTCGACCGGCCACGCAGTTTCGCTTCGCCCGCACGCACGGCACGCACGAACACGAATCCGAAATTGATTTCCCGGTAGGGGGGCTCTCCGTTCCGCTTCGATCTCACCCCCCAACCTCTGATACATATATATATATATGTATATACATATAAACATATATATATATATATATATATATGATATATTGGGTTATATTATATTATATTATATTATATTATATTATATTATATATTATATTATATTTTTATATCGTATTCCATTACATTATATCATAATATATTACATTATATTACATCATATCATTTCATATCATATCATTTTCATATTATATTTTTCATATCATATATATATATATAATATTCCACTATATTGTATAACATTATACTAGATTATATACTATTATATAATATTACATTATATGGTATAATATAATATTATATTATAGTACAGTACATCGTATTTTACTATGTTTTATTGTATCATATTATGTGATACTATATTATATTCCATTTTATTGTATTATATTATTGTATATTTTATGTCATAATATATTATGTTGTATTATAGTTTATTATCATATATTGTATTATATTATAGTTTGTATTATACTATATTAGAGTATGCTACGTGTATGTCTATATATATATATACATACACAAAAATGCACTGGCGCTTCTCGCCGTGCATCTTGTTTCGCAGCCTCTCGTCTGAAAAACATTCCACATTTTTTCTCAGACTTCTGCTCCGTTGACCCTGGTGGGAGTGGGGAGAGGTTGAGTTTTTTGCGTCACTGCCAGCAAGCGCACGGCGCGAATTCAGGCCCCTCCCGCCGCAGCGGCGGCGTCGAAGCTGTCCTGCTTGTAAATCTATATGTTTCTCTTTTTTTATTTTTTCTAAAGCCAGGAGGCTATTATGTCTTTCCGTTTTCCTCCTTCTTTTTTTCTTATATGTTATTTTCTGAACTGTGTGGGTTTTTTTATTTGCCTTGATAGGACTTCTTTTTTGTTGTTTTTTTATAATTTTTTGTTTTCGCTTTTTTTTTCTTTCTTTCTTTTTCAATTTTTGTTTTTTTTTATTTCAATTCTCTGTCTTTAATTGGGGCCTGTTGTGGGCTTCTGTAGGAGTCCTTGGGGCCTTTCGGCGGCAGTTTTGGAGCTTCCTTTGGCCGTTTTGGGCGTCTCTGGGCTCGAGCTGAGGCCCTCTCAGGCCGTCGTCGGGGCCTTTTGGACCTGGTTGGAATGGTTAGGGGGGCGTCTTGGTCCGTGTTGGAATACCGAAAAGCGCCAAACCTGTAAATCTTAGGAATGCACGTTTCCTTTCAGGAATTCGACGATTGTGGCTTCTTGAGGCTCTCTTCGGAAGCTTCTTGGGGGAGCTCGTAAAAGCCAGCAGGCCTTTTGGAAGCTATTGTGGTACTTTCGGGAGCCTGGCTTGGGCCTCCTGGGGGGGCTGGAGCCTGTTGGGGGCCTCTGTGGGAGTCCTTGGGGCCTTTCGGCGACAGTTTTGGAGCTTCTTTTGGCTGTCTTGGGCGTCTCTTGCGTCGATTTGGGGCCCTCTTGGACCGTCGTCGGTGCCTTTCGGGCCCAGTTGGAACAGTTGGGGGGCGTCTTTGTCCGTGTTTGAATCCCGGAAGGCGCAAAACCCGTACATGTTAGAAATGTGTGTTTCTCCATCGGAATTCGACGGTCTTGGCCTCTTGGGGCTCCCTTCGGAAGCCTCTGGTGGGTTCCTCGGGCCGCTTTGCTGCGAACCCGGGCTCCCTCAACGACCGGGTCATGATGTGGATTGCTTTGGGGAGCGTCCTGGAGCCGTCCTGGGCCGTCATGGGCATCTCTTGGAGCCATATCAAGGCCCTGTTGGGACATCTTGGCGCTCGCTTGGACTGTCCGGATGCCGGTCTGATTTGGTTTGGGACGACTTTCGGTGCCTCTCGGGCGGTTTCGGACGCCCGGAAGACCGAAGAACCGAGGTTCCAAGAATCTCTGAAAAACTATGCGAAAATCAATGTTTTTTGTCGCATCGAGGTGCAAATCGGAGTGCTCTTTGGGCCGTCTTCGGGCGCACAGTGGGTTCTTGGAGCCGCTTGGGGCCTTTGCAGGGCCGTTTTGCCACCCTCCTGACCGCTTTGGGCCCGCTGGCTAGGCCCGGCAAGGGCGTCCAGGTGGACCGGAGGCCCAGGGGACCCCTTGCAAGAGCGTCCAGGGGGGTCCGAAAATCCCCAGATCCTGGGGGTACGGATTTACCGGGGGGGGGGGTCCCACTCCCCTGGGTTGTAAAAATATAGAAAAGGGTATATATATATATATATATATATATATATATATATAAATACATCCCTGGGAGGGCCAAGTCTGTCCATATCCACCGCCTGCGGAATTCCATAATATCGATCTCGTGGTGGTGGTTGTGGATAAATCCCCGTCGCGCATCTAAGTGTTTTGCAGGCCCCCGAAGGTACCATGCTTCGAACGTCGAAGTTTGGGCCTGGTGGGGCTGCCCCTTTTCAGGAGTGCGACGCGAGGGCGCGATGGAGCGAATATGGTCACGGTCACGTGTCTCACATCGCGGGGCGCGATGCGCGAAGGTAGGTGACCTGAAGGGTTCAGTTCCGCATCGGCGCTGGCGTGTCCGAGGTGTTGAACGCCGCCCTGCTTGGGCCGCACCCCGCTTCTAGTCCGGTTTGATCCGGGTGCTCCAGCCGGATTCTTTGCTTCACGTGGCCCACTCGGGATTATTGGCCCCTTGATCAGGCTTAATCGCTCCCGCGATCGGCGGCGAGATCCGAACCCGACCCTCGCCTATCAGCGATTCGGGCAACTCGATGGGCGGCCGGGGTGGGGTTCGGAATTCGTCGAACACGTGGCGAAGCCCGCACCCTGCCCTCGCCCCCCAATTGATCCAGGAGACGCGATGGTTGGTGGGGGCAGCGTTCGGATGTCGCCGCCTGAACAGAGGACCCCCCGAGGTTGCCTCCCAGAGTTCGCATCTGGGAGCTTCGACCCCAACCCGCAAAGCGCAGGCCGTGCCCGTGTGCCAACTGTGTGCCTGCACCGACCCTGGTCAGGCCCGATCCAGGATCGGTGTGACGCCTCGAAGGATAAACAACAGCGCAAGCATAAACTGTTGGAGATCCGCTCTGATCTCTTTTGTGCGGTCCTTGATGGAGGCCTCAGGGGGTCCCAGAATTCCTTGCTGTTTGGGGGGGTTCGTTCGGATTTTGCCGGATGTGGTCGACAGTTGGATGAAGTCTGGATGAAATCTGGACGAAAGGTTGAAGAGCGGTGGTCGAATTCTGGACGAAATCCGGTCGAAATCACGTTTATTGTAGGGCCGCGGAGGTTCACACAGGCTCCTATGAAGGCTCACCCATGA